CAGCGCTGCAGAGCCCCGGCACACCCTGGAAGACCAGGAAGTACAGCCCGGGCGTGCAGGGGTGAGCAGCCGGCGCCCGGGGACCTCTGCCTTCCCAGGGGAGAGGGGGTGCTCGCCAGTTTCTCGCACGGCCCCTCCGGGCACGAGGGAGGGTGGCCTGGGGGCTGCACCCGCTCCTTTGCAGCCGGCTGCGGTGGCAAGGGTGGTGATCGGGGGTGGGGGCGTTAAACGGGCTTGCTTCTTAAATCGCCTCTGACTGTGGTTGGCTTGGTGGCTCCTGAGTGAAGTAGCGATGCAGGCAGCGTCTGGGAGCCTTCAGGCAGGGTGGGTTAGGCCTTGCCTTGTTGTAAGTTGAGAAATGAAGATGTCAGGCCGCTATCAGACTGCTGCTTGAAACGATTCCTGTAGTAAATAAAGCATGGATGGGAGGGGGAAGCTTTTCAAAGCTCCAGGAGGTCAATTCAGATTGCAGAGGGGAAGTGGAAGGCTTCAGCTCAGAGGAGCTCAAAGGAGAACCTTGCCTTTAGTACCTGTGCTTAGGCTGTAGCAGACTGGTAGTGCTGAAGAGTGTCAAGAACATTGATTTTTAAGTGCCTGACCGTGTGCCTTAAATAAGCATGACAGCAAATGTGATTTTGCAATATTTTTGAGGGAAGCAGTTTAGTACTAGAATAAATTGAGCTGACGAATATCTGAACTGAAATTTTAGCTTTCTACAGAGTGAATGCACTTCGTTGTGAAGGCTATCCTATTCCATGGTTGTTACTTTCTCATATTAACGCATAGACATTAAGACTTAAAGAGAGAACGTAGTCTGGTCCAATTTGTGTGCAGCAAGGGTGTAGAACTTAAGTGCTTCTGGGATGCTCAAAGAGCTTTGTTTGTTTCACATGGTCAAACTTTATTCAGGGGAAATACTGCTTTCTAGTTTTAAAATTACTTTATTCACACAAAATGTGCTAGCTGCATTTACTGTAGTGGTTTTTTTTGATGGTATTTCAAAAAGAGTTTCTTGGAGCTCCTAAAATCCAGAGCTCTTGGATGTATGTAGGAGTAAAGGCATTGCATGTTTGTAGAGGGAAACGGATCAGAATAATAGGGTACAGGAACCATCAGGCATTGAGTGCATTAAAGTTATCCAGAAGTATTAAAAACATATCTAAAGTTATAATTTTGAAAACCGGAGCCTGTTCTGGTGGGGAGCAAGACATTTGTGACTACTGTTTTTTCATTCCAAACTGACACAGAAAACAACTTAGCTGCAGGAAGCTAAGACTAAGATATGTCAAATGTTAGCATTTTATATCCTGTATTAAGTTGCTGCTCTAAAATTTCAATAGTACCATAAAAACAGTCAGAATTTCTTGGTGCCATTTCCGTACAAATGTAGTAGAATGCTTAGCTAACGTTTCAATTTATCTGCGTAAAACAAGTCAGTATCACAAAACCAGTTCTCCAAGCAAACAGATGAGGGAGTTGCCTGAAGTCACGAAGTTGGTCTACGGCAAACCAGGGAATAGAATCCAGACACTGCGAGTTCTGTCCTTTGGGTGTTGGGCAGCAATGTCTTATACTGGTCACGTAGCCTTCTTGTCTTCTGCCCTCTTGTTTCCTGTTGGCTTTCCTTTAATAGAAATTATGTCACTTTTCGAGTGTAAAAGTTTTATAGAGAATCTATATGCAACTGTATATTTAGAAAAGCTTCGGTTATGCTATTCGGTATCATGGTACAGGTTATTCTTTTGCTGATGAGTTAACGACAAGCTGTCTGCTAAATATCTTTGGAAGTGGAATGTGTGTTGTTTCCTGGCCTTCTGTCAATGATATACGTTACTACAGTGAGACCTGATGCTAGGGCTGGGACACTAGGACAGATAGCTACAGCCTGTAGGATCCCCATAGTTCCAGATTCTCATGATTAGTTTGTCAAATCATCCAGCTTCAGAAAACTGTGAATGGTTTCAACTGGGTACCAGGGAACTAGTGCTAAAGGAGAGATGTAAGTTGAGGCTACAGGCTTATCTGGGAAGCAGTTTCTGCCTTAAACGTGGAGTTCTGTTACCCAAGGTGATTCTTGAACAAGCATATACTCTTAAAAAATATTTTTCTGATTGGTGTTAAAATTGTTTTGTGAAGTACTTGATGGCTGAAATAACATAAAGATACTGTTACTAATGGAATAGCTTTAGGTGTCTACTTCCTGTAATAATTCCTGACTACTGGTGAGTTTGATTTCACTTTTTTTTCTGAAGATAGGAGGCTGATGTATCATCTGGCTGTTCAATTAAAAATGCAGTGAAAAGATTGGGGCAGGAACAGATTCCTACAGAAATTTTTTCTGGGTCCTTTACGTTCCTGACTTGTTGCCTAGTGTTACTTGGAATTGTCCACCCTGAAGTATCACTTTTATAATTATAATGGCTCCCAGGCTGCAGTAATACTTCCGATGAAGTGCATGTATGCTTTGGAGTAGTTCTATGTTCTCTTCACTTTCTGGTGCGGAGTTGGAGATGGTCTTTAGGACTACTAGTAATTATTGTTTGTTGTTGTTATTCCTCTCCCCCCCCCCCCCCCCCCCGGAATGGTAGGTGTAGTGATGTTTAGGAATGCTTTATGCTGCAAAGGCTATGCTTTGCTCTTTTTCATGTGTTTTATGTATATAGCATTCCTTTTTTTCCCGAGGTGGATCCAGAATTATTGCTTTTGCCACCTTTTGATGGTGGCATGCAAATATTTTTGTATTGTAAAGGGAATAAAATCTATTTCTTGTAGAACACAAGCATGAGAATAGCTGTACTTGACTAGAGTTTATCATAAAGCTATGCTTTAGCCTGCCTTTAGTGACCTGTGTGTTGTGTTTTTCCAGATGTTTAGGAGATATGGAGTGAAGAGGATGAGGGAAGCCTTGTTTGTTCCAATCCTGTAACTGATTGATATAGCAATAGTGTAAACATTTAAATATCCGGATTTCGTTTAGGGGCACGACACAGTACAGACTAAATGCTTGTTTTCTGAATGTGAGGCAGGTAAATGTCTCTTACAGTATTAGATTAACTCAAATGTTGGTGACTGTTCAGAGCTGTGTATGATTTCTTGCTACTGTAAAGCATACCCTTAGGTGGTTGTGAACTAGATATAGAATCTTAAGGTCGGTCTCGCTGCTCAGCACATCAAAGTAATAGTTCTTATTTCTGTAATCTCTGTATTTTAAATATAGTTAAATAGTTTTAGCACCTAGAGAGTTTAAAAGTGTCAAATAAGGTTATTTCAAAATACAGACTCAAACTGCTGTAAACTTCTTGCTGAGGACCCTACTGCTATGTTTGTATAGCTTGCGTAAACAGGAATATGTCAATTTTTTCTTAAGGTGTAATTATTTGCTTGTGAATAGTGTAGAATAATATCTGAAGTAATTCTTCTCCTTTTTAATATGAATTTAACCAAGTGAATAAGAATTAATACATTTTTAACAGTATGAGCCTGTTTTGCTTAATACTTTAAGTATTCAAAATAATTGTATATCTCTAATAAGATTGGTGCAGAAACAACTGGCATGTCTACTTGGTACAATGCAGAGCTGTGCAGAACCAATAGAACTGGCTTGTTTGGGGTTAGTGGGGATACCAGAAATGTTATACATTGGAATGATGCTCTGCCTATGCTAATTAGCATTGCATAGTAGCTGGCAGCTTACTGCATCCTTCCCCCC